ATGTGTTATTCTGATATATATATATGAACTATATTATTGTAAAGTTTCGTTAAAATCCATTCAGTAGTTTTTGCGTGAGAGTAACAAACATCTACACATCCATACATGCTCACATCCTCACAAACTTTCGCATTTGTAATATTAGTAGGACGAACTTATAAAATTATAAGTATTTCTTAAATAAAGAAAGAATTATGCGCTGTATTTATTTGTATTGATATTCGTATTTTTTTTGACTGAAGGAGGTACCTACTTAATTTAAATGTACGTGTATATTTTTCTTGAATGAATACCATAGAATACTTTCTTATATTTACGCGAATATTTGACATTTTAAATAAAACTATCTTTTCGGAACCAAAAATCAAATTAAATTCGCGGAAAAATCCGAAAAGATAGTTTTATTTAGAATACCTTATACCTTAAAGATAGTCCCATACGAATTTAAAAAAAAAATCATCTCTAAGGGTGCGATAATTATTTTTGAAATAATTTGGTTCTTAGTGTTGTAACTTTTTAATTTAAAAGTAATTAATTATAATCATTTATGTTGCAAATGAGAAGGTATGGGAAACAGTTCGAAATAAATTAAAAGAGTTTTCTATTTCTTAGCTAAGGTTTTATGTATGTGGTAAGTTCAACCTTAACCTAGTAAGATCATAAACTCTCATTACTATGTGTTTTTATTACAAGCCTTAACTCTCACTGGTCGTGTCGAGTGGTCGTCCCACCGGAATATGAGAGTGACAGGAATAGAGAGTGCACGTTGTGTCTGCGCGTACACGCGCAAATTTTACTCATTTTATGCAGCTTCTATATTATAAAAAGCTCTTAAACCCTCTTTTGAAGTAATTTTTCAGTATGTTATCCAAGTTTAAAGTAGAATTTAGCTCTAATAAAACAGATATTTCACCATCAGTTGGTCAGTCGAGCTTGTTCTAAATAACCATAAAAAATACCCTTCTCAAATAAAAATATCTGTATTAAAGTTCATATAAAACCTCATTGGTGGTTGATCTTGAACTAAAAACCGGCCTCGGCGCGTGGGCATGCGCTGACGTCACCGCGCAGCTTTTGAACTTGACAATCGATAGAGTACTCGACAACTAGGTACTTTATTTATTATATACATATTAATTATATTGTCTACCTGTGTTTATTTACATACAACATGATTTTTGTTATAGAAATTGTTCGATATTTTTTATGAAAACGTGAAATAGATAAAATGAAGATTGTTCAATGAATCTAATCTATTACATATAATAATCGAAGTCGAATCTATACATTAAATGTTTTTTTTTTGGAAATTCTTATTGAAATAGTCATTATTATCGATACAGAGGCAGAATCTATAGTTTTTAGAATTTTTGTTTGTCTGTATGTGTGTCTGTCTAGCATTACAAGAAAACCACTGGACAGATTTTGATGAAATTTGGTAGTAGCTATTGTATGTTTAAAGCTGGTCATCCGAGTCAATATATCGGATGGTCTTTACTGCGGGACAATATCTCATCTCTGAGAAATCTATACTAAACGTTAAAACGTAACTATAGGGACGAACGAGTGAAAGAGTGATGAACGAGTGGAGCCAGGGTGAGTCGCTAGTAATGCATAAAATTTATTTGTTAAATACTTGTTAAAAGTATAATGTTTTAAATTATGCAAGCTTATATATAAACCTTTAGTTACGGAAACTATATTACGAAAATACAACTCGGGAAAGGTGAAGGTGAAGAAATGTAGGGTATACGATGACAGGAAATCTCTTATTTATGATCATTCAAGTTTGGCTGTCAGTCTACTTCAACAAATTTTTGATTGGCATATAGCGAGAATAAATGCCTTCTAATTTTGGAGCAATTTTTACAGTGTCTTTTAAAAATTAAAGAAAATCGTCATGTGGGGTACCAAATATAGCTTATTAAACTACAAACTTACAGACTTCACCTTATTATTATATGTTTACAATGTCTTTGAAATATAAAAATATGATTAAAAAAAATTACAATAATAATTACTTTTAACGCTTTCACTATTTACAAAAGAAATCTTATACTAACAATTTGTGTCATACTTCCAATGTAAAATAAGAAAGCATATTCTTTCCAGGGTAATTATTGTGGAATAAAGCTCTATAGTTTAAGAAGATCATGTATTTTAAATAAAACTATCGTGGATTTATTTTGATTTTTGGTTTTCGACCGCGTCGATTGTTTTAAACGTCGAAACGTCGGGAACCAAAAATCAAAATAAATCCGCGAAATAATCCGTAAAGATAGTTCTATTTAAAATGTAAAATATTAAGACCAAAGTCAAGTACGTAAATAAGCTATAATATATTTGGTATGCCACATGATGCAAAGATGAAGGTTAAGTGATAGCCCAGTGATAACGTGCTCGCTTGGGAAACCGAGTGCAGCGGGTTCAAATACCGGGTCTCGTACCTCTGATATTTTCATGTGCGAATCATTTCCAACAAGATTACAAGTTTTGTAAAATTGTCTTACGGTGAGAAAACATAGTGAGGTAACCATGTCTGAGAGTACCTAACAAATTTTTGAAAGACAAGTGTCCACCAACCCGCACTTGGACAGCGTGGTGAATGGGAGATCCGTGCCCAGCAGTGGGACGTTAAAAAGGGCTGAATGCAAAGGCTTCTGGGTACTAGGACTGTTGACAGGAACATCTTTGATGTAGTGTTTACAGGAATATATTACGAAACTGACATAATTTATGTACTGCACGCAGAAAACTTATTAAATGTCTAATGTATTACGAGTACTGTTGCTAAGTCCAACGTATAGTATTTAGGTCAGCTCGTTTGACGCACTCCAACGTCCTGAGCTTTGCTCAATGCCGTTTTAATGATGCATCATCACTCATGCAAAATTGCAAGATTCCAGTGTAAATTACAAGAATCTCAGACGTAATTCTAGCATTCGCCTGAAATGTGTTTAGTGACTGACTTGAAAGAAGGATAATATACAAATGATTTTCGAGTCATCTATATACATGATACCTACCTTCTTTTTTGAATCGGCCAGACATACGAGTATAATTATTTGCTTAGGGCAAAATTATATTTTTTAAGTAAGTAATATTAAATGAATATTTTTTTTTAAATATAAAAAAATAACATTACATTCTAAGTAATATAAATATAATAATTCTTTATTATAATTATATAACACTAGCATTGCCCGCGGATCCGCCCGCCTTCAGATGACCAAAAACCAAATTCTTAGGTTTTACATTATTAGTATACTCTTACATTGCAGTTTTTGTATTTTTTTTAAAAAAATGAGTTTTTTTTCCCGCGGTAAAAAGGTAAAAAGTATCCTATATGTTGATCCGGATAACCAGCTGTCACCATACCAAATTTCATCAAAATCCCTTCAGTGGTTTTTCTGTGATGCGGTAACACACAGACAGACAGACAAAAATTCTAAAAATTATAGATTCGGCCTCTGTATCGATAATAATGTTTATTACAATAAAATTTTCCAAAAAATATCCAATGTACAGATTCGGCTTAGTTACAATTTTATTATATGTATAGACTCGCTCCGCTCGGGTTCGTCCCGTACGTTTTAAGGTTAGTATAGATTTCTCAGACATGAGATATTTTCCCGCAGTATAAAGTATTCTAAATGTTGACTCGGATAACCAGCTACCATCATACCAAATTTCACCAAAATCTGTTTAGTGGTTTTCTCGTGATGCATTCCCATACAGATAGACAGACAAATATTCTAAAAATTGTATAAAATTACAAATAGGTATATGCTTATTTACAACACTAGCTTTTTTTTAATTTTCGTATACGAGTATATCTAAAGGATGGTCAAAAGTTAAAGAAAAAGATGTCCACCAATAATTGTAAGGGTGAAATTTTTAAGTCTCAAAACATACCAGTCAATTTTTTAGTTGAAATGTAATTCATTACATCTATGTATAAACTACAGAACAAACAACATAACAACAACATTATTTACATAATTGTTATCAAGCTTTTGTAATACGAGTATTATTATAAAAAAGTGAAATAGTAACAAAAAAGTCGGTCGGAAAAGGTAAAAAAATTAAATAAATGTCTATAGCCAATTTAGTCGCTACTCGCTATTATGAAAGTTGGATGGATCTCTATGATTGATGCTTTTCATGATTACATGGAGCGCTGACATGCGAACGGGTCAACGACCTCGTGGTTATGAATTTTGGCACGCGAGACGAAAACCGAAAGAAATGGTCATTGTTAATTTTTTTTAACCATCATCAAATGTTCGAGTGAAACGAATTACTTTTTTAATGTATGTATTTTGTTTAACACTAGCGACTTACTCCCGCTTCGCCCGGGTTTGTCTCTAGGTTCATTCCCCATACAAACTATCATCTCCATTTTCACCCCCTTAAGTTATGATTTCCGGGATAAAAAGTCTATCCTTTTTTCTTTTTCCGCGTCTCAAACTATCTTCTTACCAAATTTCATCTTAATCGGTTTAGTAGATCCAGAGATTAGCCCCTACAACGTGACAAAGTCACAATTTACAAACTTTACCTCTTTATAATATTAGTATAGATTGGGAGATATTTATATCGATAAAAGGCCAAAGGGGTTTAAAAGATAAAATAATTAAACCATATAATAAAAGTGTCATTATAATATTTAAAAAATGCATTAGAAGGAAGTTTACGATATTGTTATAAGAGACAAATCAAGTCCAAGTGATGCAGAATGCATTACTTTGAACTTGATGACTTGTAAAGCAGGGTTGCTCTTTAGTGATTACGTTTAAAATATATAATAGTAGACTTATTATTAAAATTAATAGTTATATTGTATGTTAATTAAATTATTTATTAAATTATCAATCACTCAATAACTCTCTTAGCGGGTCGCAGGTTTTATTATTGCGTAAGATAACATTTTTTTTTTGTGATGAGGGAAAGATAATTTTGATTAGCTTGCGTTATAATTTATTTTGATTTTGTTGCAGATTTCAAAACAATAAAATCTACACATACATCGGTGAAGTGCTGGTCTCCGTGAACCCTTACAAAAACCTAGATATCTATGGCCAACAACACATGGCGCAGTACAGGGGGCGGGAGATGTTCGAAGTCCCCCCACACGTGTACGCGGTGGCTGATGCGTGCCAGAGGGTGCTACGACAACAGGTAGAGATAAGATACTACTATATTAAAAGTCATGAACAAATATTTTAATAATTCTTTTGCACTTTAAAATTATATCGGATTATTATTTCAATATAACAAATATAAAAGTTTGTTGTGTATGTGTGTCTATGTATGTTTAGTAGTCCTTCATGCTGAAACGACTTGACGGATTTTAAATTAAATAGACATGTTATCTATATATATAATAAAAGTGTAAATGATAGCTGTCTGTACATTAAAGATATTTAATAAAAACTATTACTAGGGGTCTTTATTAACGCAATAGGAACCAAAACAATGATTTTTAGATTTTTTCTGTTTGTCCGTGCGTTTGTGCGCGCTAATCTCAGAAACGCCTTGACCGATTTTGATGCGGTTTTCACTAAAGTATTGTAGTGAGCTTCGCTTAACATTTAATATTTGTTTTATTTCAATCGCTTCATAAATAAACAAGTTATGTCAATTCAAATCAAAGAATCGCTAGTTATACATTAGGTACGTTTAATTATCTTTTCACCAACCGATTGTATCCAAAACATTTTCTTCTGACATTTCGTACGAAACTGGTAATTGCCTTATATTTTACTAGCGACTTACCCTCGCCTTGCTCGGGTTCGTCCATAGGGTATGAATACAACTTCCCTATTTGAATCGGATATTATTAATTTTTTTATTGGTTTTAATTTTTTTTCGTGGGATTCTATTTTTTTTTCTAAAATAAAAGTAGCCTAAGTTACTCCTTATTACATCAGCTATCTGGCAATGAAAGTCCCGTCAAAATTGGTCTAGCCGTTTCAGAGATTAGTCGGAACAAACAGACCAGACAAAATTTGTAAAAAATGCTGTTTTGCTATATGTACATTTAGTAAAAATCTGTTATTTGGACATTACAAACAGACACATCAATTTTATTTATCTATATAGATGGGCACTCACTCTCCAAGATTTTATTTGGTGTTTGACTCGTGTTGAAGGCTGTTGTATTCAAGAGTAGCAACATTTAAGTGTCCATTGTGTCGGTGCCTCGTGCCCTTTGAAGGATTGAGGCTACAACAGCAGACATATTAATATGGGCGCAAATTATATACGACCACCCGTATGGTTCTTTTAATGTTAAATCCTTTGTTTAAATTCTCAACCGAAACAAATGAGGAAATGTTGTAATGGAATCTAATTGAATATTGCGGATTTTACTTAGACAATGCTTTTAGGGTTCCGTACTGCAAAAAGGAAAACGGGAACCTTTATGGGATCGCTGGTCATTGTATAATATTATGTTTAAACTAGCATTTCCCGCGGCTCCGCCCGCGTTCAGATGACCAAAAACCAAATTCTTAGGTTTTACATATTAGTATACTCTTACATTACAGTTTTTGTATTTTTTCTCAGTAATGAGATATTTTCCCAGGGTAAAAAGTATCCTATATGTTGACCCGGATAACCAGCTATCATCATACAAAATATCATCAAAATCTGTCAAGTGGTTTTCTCGTGATGCGGTAACAGACAGACAGACAAAAATTCTAAAAACTATAGATTCGGCCTCTGTATCGATAATAATGTCTATATCAATAAGATTTTCCAAAAAATATTTAATGTACAGATTCGGCTTAGTTACAATTTTATTATATGTATGGATAATTTCGTAAAACATGTAGGACTTTATGGTATACCAAAAGAGCGATAAAAACGCCATAACATCTGACACAATAATATCCCAAACAATAACCAGGAAATTATACCTGGAGATAAACTGGCTAGTGAATAGTTATCTACACTAATATTATAGAGAGGTAAAGTTTGTGAATTGTGAGTTTTTGAGTATGTGACGTTGTAGGGGGTAATCTCTGGATCTACTAAACCGATTTAGATGAAATTTGGTAAGAAGACAGTTTGAGACTCTGGGAGGGACATAGGATACTTTTTATCCCGTAAATCATTCCTTAAGGTGGTGAAAATGGGGATGAAAGTTTGTATTGGGAAGTAAGTCAGGGACGAAACCAAGCGAAGCGAGGGTGAATCGCTAGTCCTATAATATAAAGATGCGTGTAGGTCTGTCATTCCGGTTTGTCAATGAACCGAATTATCCTATTATACTGAATGAACAAAGAAATGAAAATTTTGTACATAATATTACCTATATAAAACTTAAAACAAAGCATATATAAATATGAGCTCTTCTTTGGCATCTTATTACCTAATATATTGATTGATTAATTATCATAAGCACCCAGGATACACGTATTACACATGGAGTCGTAAATGAAGTTTTGCCACCTACAGTCTAAGTACCTTCAAGGCAAGAGTTAAAAGGCATTTTCTAGGCAAGCGCGCTCCAACCTAGACCTCATCAGTGCTTCCCAGCGGTGATTGTAGTCAAGCGCATGTTTATCGTACAATAAAAAAAAGTGAAGCCGGGTTGTACTATATAGCAATAAATATTTTTATCTCCTTCGTATTGAAGAAGTGCCCAGAAGTGGTACGTTAAAAAAGAGCTAAATATATATATAGGTATATACTTTAAATATTTTTAAACCGAAAATATATTTCGACTTTAAAATCACAATTTCGTTTATATAGGAGAATTCTTGAATATCGGTTGACGATTCACGAAGATCGCATAAAATACACTCGAATTGCGAGCTTCCCGTTTTTTGAAGCCAGCCATAAAGATATCAAAGATTTTTTTTATAATGTTTTTTTAATAATGGTTTAATTTGTAAAACACGTAGAACTTTATGGCATACCAAAGGGGCGATGAATGAAAAAAATGAAAAAGAGTGCTATGAATATGTCGTAACCTCTGACACAATAATATCCCAAACAATAACACGGGAAAATATACTTGGATATAAATTCGCTAATTAACGACAGCTTGTCCCTGTATGCCTGAAGGAAAGTTCATCGGCTCGAAGGAGCACGCTTATGCCCGATTTCACTAACAACCCATAAGCTACCACCTACGTATGGGATCCCTAGTCTAAAAGTCCCCTAAACTAGCCCCTAAATTGAATTTCGTTTTACCATCGTCTTCAAGCCCATATTTCGAGCACCTAAATTTAGGGGGCCTTTTAATATTTAGGTGACCCCTAACTGTCGGTGAAACAGAAACTGTCCCCTAACAGCCCCCTAACCATTTTTTTTTTTTTTTTTTTTCCCCCCCCTGCCGCCATGTGGGACGCCACGGGATCGCTCTCGCATACAACCGCGACGCCCCGACGGTTGGCCGAAGCCACCAACCATGAGGCCGCCCCAAGCGGGACAACCTCATTATGGGAAGACTATCAACCCAAGAAGAAGTGAGGCCGCTCCTAAGTCCACTCTGCTGATCAGAGAAGTACCCGGAGCAGCCCCACACCACACAAACACCGCCCACCGAAGTGGGCAACCTGCAAAAATAATAAACCCCACCCAAATTGGGCAAACCCCCCAAAGACGCCCGTGAACGAGCCCAAACACAAACGGCTGCAGGAGAAGAGGGTGCGACAACGCCGACACTCCCCTTCCCCTGCAGCCCCACCGCGTCCACCATCAACGGTGGTGGCCCCGTTAGGCCGCGGGAGATAGGGACGAGCGGCGCATCGCCATACCGACACTCCTCTTCCCCCGCGGCCCCCCTACCGTCGGCCCACCTCCGGACTAAAATGGCTGCCGACATCCCTCGCCATACGCAGGACCACCGAAATGGCCCCGCTCCAGCCGCCGCACCGACGGGCTAGCCCCGGCAGTGTGGCCCGCGCAGCACCTCCTACCGCAAAACGGCCGGAGACACCGCGCTACCTCCAAGAAGGAGACGGCGCCCTCTAACGCCGCTCCCTCAACCTCCCCTCCTGGCTGTTGGTCCGCGCCGGAATGCTCCGGTACCACAAGCTCCTGTTGGGGCCAAACAGGCGCGAGTGGTGTTCAACAGCCCCCTAACCATGCTTAGGGGATCCCTTAAACTTAGGTGACGTTGGTGAAATCGGGCATTAGTCAACCAATTGAAAAAGCTATTAACTTAGAAGAGTCTTATTTTAATACTGGTACACACATAACATTTTTTTAAAAGTAAGTTTGTATTATGTTTGTTTTTCTTTCACGCTCTAACGGGTTTATGTACTGGAAACTCGCATCAGCTACTTGTTATCCCGCAACATGTCGTACCAGTGGGAATTTATTATACTATTGTATACCTAAGCGAAGGTACATAACTAGTTATAACAGAATCACGGAAATGTTGAAAGCTATATATATGTACATACTAGCGAGACTCGTGACTTCGTTCGCGCTAAAACTACAAAAAAATCTCAAAAAAGTAGTTTAGTTTAGTGTAGTTTCATATAAACTTTCACACTACACCCCCCCCCCCCCCCCCCAATTTTACCCCCTTATAGCATGAATTTGGAAAAATGCTAAAACACGGTTTATTTAATTTTATTGAAGAGCATTAATACCAAGTTCAAGTAATTTTGATCGTAAATATTTTTTTGAATTGTATTATAAGTTATAACGTGTTTTCCCGTGGGAATTAGATAATTTCCCGCAGTAAAAAGTAGCCTATATCACTTTCCAGCCCTCGAACTATCTCCACACTAAAAAATCACGCCAATCCGTCACTCCGTTTCGACGTGAAAGAAGGACAAACAAACAAACACACTTTCACATTTATAATATTAGTATGGATATATGACTAGCGACTTACTCTCGCCTTACTCGAGTGCGTCCCACGTGAATGGCTTAGGAACACATAAAAGACGAACGTCCAAAAATAAATTCTTTTATCTTCACCAGCGCGATCCACCAGAGTTTCACCATAATCAAATCAATGGGTTAGGAACGTATAGAGGACAAACATACGAACATTTATTTTTACTTACATAGATGGATTTAGATATTATGTTAAGTTTTTTTTCTAGGGCAGAGACACATGCGTCCTCATATCAGGCGAATCGGGCGCGGGGAAGACGGAAGCGTCGAAGTTCATTATGAAATATATAGCCGCGAACACTATGCAAGTGCATAGAGAATATATCGACAGGTAAATCGGTTTTAAATATAAAGGAATATTATTATATTTTATAAGCAATTGTAATTAATACACCCAAATTATGGCAATAACGTAGTTCTTTTTTACTTACTTTATGGTGCTTTACTCGCGTCTTCTAGGTTTTCTTGTCATTGATTACTTGGTTTTGTGCCGAAGTTTGTTTTTGATTTGTTTGTTATGTGATGATTTCCTTCATCTCGCCTTCCATAGTCAAGTTTATGTTAAATCTATGAATTTTTAAACTTTCTTAGTGAATATTTGACATCTTTATATAATTCTTCTGTGAGTGTGTATGTCACTGAACTTCTCTCAAACGACTGGACCGATTTTGATGAAATTTTTTGTGTGTGTTCAAGGGGATCTGGGAATGGTTTAGATTCACAATTTGAATAATAATTTTCATAAAAAAATTTATTAAAAAAAGTTTGAAATTTTCAAATTAAAGACGTGTAGACAGGACAACGTCTGTCGGGTCCGCTAGTTTTAAATAAAACTATCTTCACGGATTTTTTCGCGGATTTATTATAATTTTTGGTTACCGACGTTTCGAATGCTTTACAGCAATCATGGTTACCCATGGGTCAGTCTCTCCCATGACCATGATTGCTGTAAAGTATTCGAAACGTCTAATCTACGTACGTATCTAAAAAACAGAATAGACGCAGTAAATAAATATAAAAATAAGCTTTATTAATAACGGTTTATTGTTTTTGTACTTATTAAAATTTTACTTAAAAGCGTCATATGGTAGTAATCAATAAACTATCCAACTGCTAGATTGATTTCACCTTTGTGCGTGCATTCATTTGAAGGCTATCATTTAAATAATGGCAAAGTGACACAATTAGTACGTGCAACCGCATTTGTGCATTGGCCTTGCAGTACTCATCTAAACGGTGTTAATCGGAACGCTCTAACAAATTAATACACTATAATACTAGTAATACTAACATTATAATAATTACGAACAAACTAATATTATATACGCTATAACCCTTACATCTTCTAATATATATAATTTCCATGTCACAATGTTAGTTACTGTACTCCTCCGAAACGGCTTTACCGATTTTTACCAAATTTTATATGCGTATTCAGTAGGTCTGAGAATCGGCTACTATCTATTTTCCATACCCCTAAGTGATAAGGATAAGGGTGGTCCTCCCAGACCCCATCCCAGGGACGAACCCGAGCGGAGCGAGGGTGAGTCGCTAGTAAATATATATAACAGACAGTCATATAACAGAGAGTCAAGCGCTACTTCTTTCGTCTCTATCAATCTTTCTCTTCATACTCGCTTTTAATTTTCCCTCCTAATAAATACTTAAGTTTGTAAAAGTTTGTTTAGAAACCAGACGTTTAATAACTTTTTACATAATATATTCATTTCTCATTGAAATAATTTTATATGCCGGGATCGATATTAGTCAATGTCATGTATGCATTGGTTCGTATTAGGGTAAAGATTCTCAGAATCGGTTAAGATCTAATATGTAAGAGATGAACATTAGTGTGTGTGAATGAAACATATATTTTATAGTTATTTAAAAATGTATACCGAACAGGAACCAACCCTTTCGTATGTTTGTCTCTTTCTGAATGTTCAGACGCAAAAAGGAGTTTTTTTTTATGGAATATAACGTAAATAATTATATATTTACAATATATAGAAAAAATAATTATTTTTATATTTACTTCACAGAGTAAAAAACGTTCTAATACAGTCAAATTCTATCTTGGAAACGTTTGGAAACGCGAAAACGAATCGTAACGACAACTCGTCACGTTTCGGCAAGTATATGGACATACACTTCGACTACAAAGGAGATCCCATCGGAGGACACATCAGTAATTATCTATTGGAGAAGAGTCGAGTTGTAAATCTTCAGCCTGGTGAAAGGAACTTTCATTCATTTTATCAGGTAAGTTCAGATATTTACACGTTTTGAAGCTATCGTGTTCTCGGGCTTCCCTTCAATATGATGGGGATCAGGTTTGCCCTGATCCCAGGGCAAAGTCCACCACGTGGGATCTCATCACGCTGGTCAAGTGCGGGCGGGCTTCACATGTTCTTCGAAGACTTGCTGGGTTCTCTCAGATATACAGGTTTCCTCAAGATGTTTTTCTTCACTGTAAGATAAGCGGTAGACATGTTGGAAAATGATTCGCACATGAAAATGAAAACGAGGCTTGTGTTATGGATACCAGATAGTTGATACATTACACATATATAACTTTAAATACATACATATTATAAATTGACACACCCATGACTGGAGTACAAAAATTTGTCCTCATCACACAAATGTGTGCCCCCAGCGGGACTCGAACCCGCGACCGCTGGCACAGCAAGTAGGGTCACTACAACTACAACATGTCGACAATCCATCGTTTGAGGAGATATTAGAGATATTCGCTTTTCAAACTCCCTATAATTTAAAGTCAATTTTATTAGAATGTTCTGTATAGAGTAAAAATAAGGCGGGTGTCACCACTGGAGGTGGTTAGTGAGTAATATAATATGACATAGTTACGTTTTAAGGTTTAGTATAGATTTCTCAGAGATGAGATATTTTCCCGAAGTAAAAAGTATCCTATATGTTGACCCGGATAACCAGCTACCATCATACTAAATTTTATCAAAATCCTCCCAATGGTTTTTTCGTGATGCGGTAACAGACAGATAAAAATTCTAAAAACTATAGATTCGGCCTCTGTATCGATAATAATGTTTATTTCAATAAGATTTTCCAAAAAATATTTAATATACAGATTCAGCTTAGTTACAATTTTATTATATGATCCGACTAACTAGTAATACAATATTGTTTTAGAAATGTACGTTTGAAGCACGAATCAATGACATCAGACCGTTCCTTTGTTGGAATTATGTCAAACCACAACAAAATAATATTGTACGTTAGCTTATCGTTAGTCGTCTTTTGTATGAAGATAGGTCTTATGAATGTTCTGTGGTTATTTATAGTTATTAAATTGTAGTCGCTTTTTTCTAAATGTTTATTGTTGAGCTTTTTTTAACGTCCCACTGCTGGACGTGGGCCTTCACGATGGCCAAACGCTTTTAGTTAGTATCTCCGTAGCAAGTTTATATGTAACTAGCATTGCCCGCGGCTCCGCCCGCGTTCAGATGACCAGAAACCAAATTCATAGGTTTTACATATTAGAATACTCTTACATTGCAGTTTTTGTTTTTTTTTCCTCAGAAATGAGACATTTTCCCGCGGCAAAAATTATCCTATATGTTGACCCGGATAGCCAGCTATCATCATACCAAATTTCATCAAAATCCGTCCAGTGGTATTTCTGTGATGAGGTAACAGACAGACAAACAGACAAAAATTCTAAAAGACAATTTTATTATATATGCAGTATTATTATCTTCAATCTAAAGCCTAAAGAGATTTGCAAATACTTTCTTAGATTTTTGCGTGCGAATAATCTCTTAGTCTCTTCCTAGACAATTCAGTGTTTGCTATAACCATTAAAAAAAAAATTAAAAATAACGAACGAACAAATCCGTAAATAATTATAATTAATTTTAATAATTTTTTTTCAGCTCCTAAGCACAAATAACGCACACATCAAGAAGTATGGCCTAAACTCTACTTCAGTGTACAAAATATTGGGTAACGAGCGACCAACGGGACAGGATTCTAAGCTTTACAGCGTAACAAATAGTGCCTTTAATGCTTTGGGCTTTGCTCCATCAGTGGTTGACGATATATGGAGTATCGTGGCTGGAGTCATTTTGTTGGTAAGTGCTTTGAAATTTAATTATTGTTAAGGATAGTAGTAATACAGTGGTTATTAGACGGAACTCGTCGGTTCGATTTTGTGTAGCGAATTTGATAACTATATTATGATATTCTTCATGTTGATGTGTATTTATATGTATGTATATGAATATATTTTTTTCTATAATTCTAATATATGATTCTAGATCAGTTATTAGTCATCAAAGTTTCAGCTTAAGCTCTTGGTGTAATACAGTCTGACAAACTTATACTAGGGTGTCATATATTACGGTCTCATATAATATAGTATTACAATTTCACACGATACAATCTCATGTAATAGTCTTATAATACGACGTGAATGAAAAAGGTAATGGATGCGAACATCAGTTTGATAGACGCGGTGACAATCCGACCTCAAATTAATGGACGACAAACTAACCCTATTAGGTTAAGTTAATTAGTTTTTGTGCTAAGGTTAAACGTGCACGGTCTCGTTGCTGGATTTGTATCGGCTCAATGATTTCTAGTTGTGCCTGTAGTCGAAACGATTAACTTCATCGGTTTTTATTACCGTGGGATTTGGCTTATATTGGCTTTCATTCGCCAGTTCTTCTCAGGTCTGAGCCTTATTCTTTCCGAACAGGCAGTAGACTCATGACGTTCAGTAAAAAATTGTGATAATTTAATGCTTAATATAATATTTTGATTTGATTTGATTTGTGAAGAGATTAAGTATAACTCTGTTTTTATATCTAACGCTATCGCGTAAAGCTTGTCGATAAATATAATAAATAAAATGCAAAAATATTTTTCCATATAAGACTAATTAATGGTTTTTAGAGATTAGCGCACTCGTACAAACAAAAAACAACCTTTAAATTCTTTTTCTTTACAATATTTCTCTGCTCTTCGCAGTCGAACTGCATTTCCATCCGCATGTAGCTTCCTAAGATATGGTAGTGCAAAACAAAACTCATTTTTCGCCCGTGGCTTCATTTTTGTTGTATATACATATGTCGATACAAATATAATTGTTATAGCGGGAAAAAACAAACAGACTCACAAACCTTCACATTTATAAGTGATCATAATAATAAACTTTTTATTGTACACCAAGAAAAGTTAAAATAGATATATAAAATAAATAAATATAGCGAACATAGATAGTGTACAAGAGACGGCTTTACCTCTAAAACAGCGATCTCTTTCAGGCAACCTTTAGGAAATAGCAAAATGTGGGAGAGTAAGAGCGAGTTATTAATTTGTGTTCAGTCCTTTTTAACTTCCCATTGCTGGGCACGGGCCTCCTTTCAATTCGAGGGCGATCAGGCCTACCTTACATGAGGGGCGTCACTGACAAGATTGGCTACATTCTAAAGCGAGCTTCAATTAAAACTTACTTCAAGCCGCCAAAGAAAATTAGTCAGTTTCTACCACCTGTCAAGTGCCACATCCCTCTACAAGATGGCCAAGTGCGGGTTGGCGGACTTCACATATCTTTCGAAAACTTGCTAGGTTCTCTCAGATATGCAGGTTCCCTCGCGATGTTTTTTTTTTCACCGTAAGACAAGTGGTACCTAATCATGTTGGATATGATTAGCACATGAAAATATCAGAGGTGCGTGCTAATCCTGGGTGGTTTTGAACCCGCGTCACTCGGTTTCCCGAGCGAGCGCGTTGCCACTGGGCTATCACTGTCTTTGTATTGATTAAACGCATGAATGTGATAATTTGACGAAGTAATTATGCCAGTCAGCCAATTTAGACGGATAAGTACTACCTACGTTTATACTTCTTAATGGTCTATAGTAAAATTTACGTTAGAAATACGTGCAAATTTGTGTGAAATTTGAATTTAAAACATTTCATATTCGTCATTTTCAAAGGATTATTTCGCGAATTTAATTTTTATATTTTAGATATTCTACATAGATATGTTTATCACCTAAAATTAACTATATATTCATCTAATTAGTGAGTTGAATAAAAAAAATATTATTGCCCAAAAAGGTAATGATATGTTCGTGTCCAGGGTGAACTGACGTTCACAGAAACCCAGGACGGCCACCTGTCCATCGGCGGCCCCCTGAAGCAGTGCGTGAGCGCGCTGGGCGTGACGGAGGAGGCGCTGCGCGCGGCGATGGCGGGCCGCGTGCTGGCGGCGGGCGGCGACCTCGTCAGCAAGGCGCACTCGCTGGCCGACGCGCACCACACGCGCCTGGCGCTGGCCAAGGCGGCCTACGACAGGCTCTTCACGTGGATTGTGGAACAGGTGATGGGTTTTTTGTGGTTTTGGGAGGTTTTTTTATTGACTTCAAAAAAAGGGGTAGGAGAGGGGGAGGGGTGGGGGTTAGTTTTGTTATTCTTGTTATGTTTGCATATTTAGTTGGTTAAGTGGTTTAACTAATTATTTTAGGGAATTAATCTATATGTCGTGTTATCTATATAAATCCTCCTCCGTCGTACATATGACATCATTTTATTAACTATTCTTAAGCGTATAAAAAATACCAAATTATTAAGAAAATCAAAAATAAAAATTTTTGGAAACTATTCGATTTGGCGTGGAATGCCCCATATATAAATATGTAGTGTGGTATCGTCGGAATTTATGATACCGTGTATTGTGTCATTACATCGTCTCAGTGTTTATTTGTCCAAAATTCAAATTACCGAAATTTTTTTAATTCAGAATTATTGACTTTTAACCTAAAAAAAATATTTTATCTATACATATATGTATAAAAATCTTAGAAATAAAGGGTCTGTTTTTAAAATTGCAAATAAAACTCAACTGTAAGTACAAGTATAGGTTTTTTGAACTAATAAGCACTAATTCTACAATTACATGAGCTGTTTTTAGTAAAAATCATTCACAACACTTTAATTATTAAGGCTTTTGATTAGACTGTTAGTAGGTAATATGTTTATTAAAAATCATTTATGTCAGCTTATTATAACAGGTTATTTCGTAAAATACTTAACAAATATATGTATGTATGTTTATCGTTTTCCTCAATAGTGTTGACCGTGGCTCTGTACGTGATAATTGCGAGGCCAGTACCTACTAGTTTTTTATTTTTTATTTTTATTACTAAGATCTACAAACAGTATTGAATTATCATTTAAAAAGGCAACATAAGTTTGCTTATTAAATCTAATATACGAAAGGGTGTGAAGTCGTTGCTTTGTTATTGTTCATATAACGATGTATTGAAGTAATTTTAACCGTTTTCGATCATGGCAGCCAATTTAAATGTCAGTGAGACTAGCTCTCAACAAGAGATATTATAGTGCAGATATACAGATGTCGGTGTGTCCGTTCATATAGTGTGGTCTCTTTACTCCTTCTCTTTTCACTCCCAAACTCCGATGGGATCATATTTTGACTTGCGGTGAAACATTAGACGCATAAATAAAAATATAGTTTTATTTAATAATAGATAAAAATAAATAAATAAATAAATAAATAACTCGATTTACGTGCTCTGCCTCGAAAAGAAGTTGTAACGTCGCCAACTAGTTAAGTCCCACTACTATTGATAATTATTCATGTCAGGGGATAACATAACGAGATACTAATATTATTTCTAAGCGTAACTGCCTTGGTGGTAGTGGCAAGTATGTGCGACTGCACATCCCGTGGTCCTGCGTTCGAGTCCCGGGTCAGGCCAATTTTAGTTAGTCTTTCCGTTAAGGAAGTTCCAGTAACAGCCCTGAGTTAAGAAGTTGGCGGTGTTACACCACCGTGTCGAGGCAGAGCACGTAAAGCTGTCGATCCTATCGGGATTTAACAGTGGCAGGAATAAAGAGTGCACTTATGTATACACTGTCTCAGTTAGATTGGCCGTTGTTGCCGAAATCGATCGGCCACTATCATTATTAAACCTTAAGGGCTTAAGCAAAATGAATGCTGGTAATTACTAAACTATAATTAAATTTGTTATTTTATATTGTTGTCCACAGATTAACAAAGCGATAGAGGCGCCACAAAGCTCGTACAAGAGCTCTCTCATTGGCGTGCTGGATATATATGGGTTTGAAATCTTCGACACGAACAGCTTTGAGCAGTTCTGCATAAACTACTGCAATGAAAAACTTCAACAACTTTTTATTGGTAATTTATTTTGATATCTGTATAAATATAGCAAAATACTCATTTCGAACACGAAAATCGAAGATAATATGAATGTTTACAAACTCGAAATTTGGCCGATAGATAGTTTAATTATTTACATAGTGTTATAATAGCTATTTATTTAAAAAAACACTATAAAGGGTAAAAATGAATTCGGAAGTTTGTATGAAAATCCGATGTTTTTAAACTACGCTGACAAAATCGTGGGTAAATGCGTGCGTCGATGCTTTATTACTTATAATTTTGACTAATACTAAATAAGTGTGGAGTAAATGGTTTGTTCAATTATTTATTTATATAAAATGTTTAAAAACTTGTAATAAATCAAAAGATTAAAATATAATAAATAGTACTACATAGTATTGTGGAAATTGGAACAGGACCAAGTTTGTTAGATGAGATGTACGTATTCAATTCAATACGAGGGGGATCAGGCCACAGCCCACCACGCTGGCCGAGTGCGGGCGGACTGAGCACGTCTCTCGAAAACTTTCTAGGTTCCCTCAGACATGCAAATGTTTTTCTTTATCTGTAAGAATCCATATACTAGTATTTAATAACATTAACTTTTTTAATTCTTTGTTGTGGCTTTAAAATATCTTTGATACTTGCTGCGCCTGCGGTCACGGGTTCGACTCCCGCTGGAGGCATTCATTTTTGTGGTGAGCACGAATGTTTGTATTTGTAATATGTATGTATTTAAAGTTATATATGTGTAGTGTAATAAACTACCTGGTATCTATGACACATGCCTCGTAGCTTACCATGGAACTAGATGGTGCTGTGTGTCAATGTGCCACCATTTTTATTTATTACTATGATATCTCCCGCGCATCTGGCTAGTCTCAGTGAGATCGGCCGTGGCCGAAATTGTTCAGGAGGTCACTACTATGATTATTTATCGGCACGCGCCATGTGCAGAGCTGGTGCTGAAGCAGGAGCAGGAGGAGTACGCGCGCGAGGGCATCCAGTGGACGCCGGTGGAGTACTTCAACAACCGCGTGATCTGCGAGCTGGTGGACGCGCCGCACCAGGGCATCATCGCCATCATGGACGAGGCCTGCCTCAACCCCACCAAGGTACCGCTCTCTACATACATACACACTTACACACAAACATACATATACACAAACAAACATACATACATACATACAAATATACTAATATTATAAAGATGAAATCGTTCATTTGTACTTCTTTCACGCTGAATTAGCTATTAATTGATTTGATTTTGCATTTGGAGTAGTCGGAGGCCTCTAAGGTGATATATGTAGATATATTTTTTTATCTAGGGACTACCTGAGTAAAGTAAGGAAAGAACTTGAATATTAAACTATCTGTAGCTTAACGTTATAAACCATATGGTTCTGGGTTTGAGTCCCGTGTCAGACCAAATTAGTAACAGCTCAAAGTTGGGATGTTAAAGTGTTTTAAACACATTGTCTAAGAGCCCAACTGAATTAAAAATTTAAATATACGATGTGTCAGTACAGAACGTGCACTCGATCAACTTTCTAATTAAAATAACGTACATATATCACGATATCGGTAGAATTATATTTGAAATTGTATATTTTGGTTTTACATATTGACATACTAACATTTAATTTAAAGTGTAAAATTGACGATATCTATGTATTTGTAGAAGTTTATTTGAATGAAGTATATTTTAATTTTAATTTTTAGATAACAGATACGCAACTGTTAGAGGCCATGGACAAGCGCCTCAGCGGGCACAAGCACTACACGTCGCGCCAGCTCTCGCCCACCGACAAGAAACTCAAGCATGGCGTTGATTTCAGAATTACGTAAGTTTTTACTGCGTATTCTGTAGTGCATTTGGTTTTTAAATTGTCCATTTTTAGGGTTCCGCAACCGAAGGGTGCCAACGGAACCCTATTACTGAGCCTCCGGTGTCCGTACGTCTGTCAAAGAGCTGTATTTTATGAACCGTATTAAGTAACCTTTGAGTGGACCATCGATCTAAAAAGTAGATACACAATCCCATGTAAAATTTATTTTAATACTGTCATCAATTGTGTTTAGGTAATTATTCTAGTTGAAATAAATACCTATACAACAATCTAAATTGAACCTTAAATGCGATGCATAAAGTTCTTTTTGCCGCTGATTGTGTATCTAGTATTTTTTTGATTGATGAGTGGGACGTTAAAAAGGGTCGAATTCATTACAGATTGTAGAGTCCTTCTTCTCTAAAGTGGCCATTATCTATGTGTATGTGTGTGTGTGTGCAGGCACTACGCGGGCGCCGTGACGTACGCCGTGACGGGGTTCGTGGACAAGAACCGCGACGCGCTGTGGCAGGACCTCAAGCGCCTGCTGCGCGCCTCGCGCACGCGCGCGCTCGCCGCCATGTGGCCCGAGGGCGCCGACCACATACTGAAGGTAGCGTAGCGTAGCGTAGCGTAGCGTAGCGTAGCGTAGCGTAGCGTAGCGCCTCCTCACCTAGCTAAACGTGTCCGTAGGTATGTTTGTACGGCTTCTGGGTGTCCCGGATTCGAGTCACAGGTCGGGCCAATTTTAGTTATTGCGCTTTTCTATCAGGAAATTCTCAATAGTCAAAGTTGGGAAGTTGACGATGATCAATATATGTCAATAATTTTTTGTTTTTAAAAACAGAAATTATTTTTTTGGTATAAGCGATCGTAACAATCGTAACATAGCCTATTAATATTGTCTTTTGATATAACCTACATGAAATAATAAAGCAATATAAACCCATCACGTACGTATGTATGCGCAGACGTCGAAGCGGCCGCCGTCCGCGGCGACGCTGTTCCGCAGCAGCATGGCGGCGCTGGCGGCCGGCCTCGCCAGCAAGGAGCCCTTCTACGTGCGCTGCGTCAAGCCCAACCCCGCGCAGGCGCCCGCGCTCTGGGACGACGACCTCGTCAGTACACACACTACGCACTACACACTACCTGTCTGTGCAAAGATATACAAAACCTATACTTATCTCTACAGTTGTCTAATGAAGGATTGTAGGTAGTTTCAAATAAAACTATATATTTGAATGTTTTGCATAGCTTGTCTCTCATTTACTGTAAAGCATTCGAGACGTCGGAAAACAAAAATTGAAATAAGTCCAGGGAAACTCTGAAAAGATAGTTTTATTTAAAATGTTAAGTATTTGGGTAAATCTAAGAAAGTATCATGCGTCTAAATAAGATTGATTCTGACGAGACTTTCACTAGCAGATAGTTTATGTTATAAGAGGTAACTTAAGCTATTTTTATTTCAGAAAATGGTTTTAAATTTCACTCAAAAAAAAATGTGTACTCTAATGTTAAAGAGTTTTTTTTAATGTTTATAATATGTTTGTTTGTAATGGATGAATAAAAAAGCCGCTGAACTGATTTAGTTGAAATTTGGTATGAAGATAGTTTGAGACTTTGGTTAGGATATAGGATACTTTTTATCTCGGAAATCGACCATTAAGGTGTTGAAGAGTTAGTATAGGGAATCAATCATTTTCCAACTGAGGGATATAAGACTCAAGATACCGTAGTATATATAGTGTATGTATGTAACCCGTGACTGGGCGGCGGCAGGTGCGGCACCAGGTGGCGTACCTGGGGCTGGTGGAGAACGTGCGCGTGCGGCGCGCGGGCTTCGCGTCGCGCCAGCGCTACGACCGCTTCCTGCAGCGCTACAAGATGCTGTCGCAGTACACGTGGCCCAACTTCCGCGGCGCCGGCGCGCGCGACGCCGTGCTCGTGCTGCTGCGCGACCTGCGCCTCGCAGACGTGCAGTTCGGGCACACCAAGCTCTTCATACGGTGGGTACATCAAGCCTAATTTTAGTGCTTATATAAATATATGTATATTATGAAAAAAAATTATTCGTCACAATTAAATAGTTAGATTATGTTTTTGGTACAATAATATAATTGTAAGTATTTTTTTTATTTCTTCTTTCAAGTCAAACAAGTAAGTATTTTAACTACAAACAAATAATCGATATTAATAAAGAAAAAACAGTTTTTTTTTTCAAGATTTTTTTATACAATTTTGTTGGTTTTTTTTCCTAGTTTTAATTATTTTAATTTCCCAAATGTGTAGGAGTGCGAAAACGATCCACTCGCTGGAGGTGGCGCGCGCGGAGCTCATCCCGTCCATCGTGGTGCTGCTGCAGAAGCTGTGGCGCGGTGCGCTCGCGCGCGCGCGCTACCGCAAGATGAAGGCGGCCATCGTCATATACAATGCTTGGAAGTCAGTGGACATTTTTATTATACGGATTTATGTTATGAGTTATTTTTAGTTTAATAAATTGGAGATAATAGATTTATAACCGATATCAATATAAATATTATGTACACGATGTTTGCAATTAAGAGGAATTTTTCGTTTGCTAAATATCAATCCTATCGTTAATTAAGATATACTTTATATTTATAAATTCTTTTGCTAGAGGTAAAAAATTTTTAATATCCTTTTAGCCAGTAAGAAAAAATACAGGTAAATAGTTAACCGGTCAAATAACACACATCTCTACCGACAGGCGCTACCGCTTCCGTCGTTACATATCAGAGCTCCAGCAGCAACTGCAGAAGAACCGCGGCGTGATCGCACACTGGCCGCCGGCGCCGCGCCGCGTGGCCGCGACCATCCTGCAGGGCGCGTACCGGCGCTGGCGCGCGCACGTCACGCTGCGCGGCGTGCCGCGCGACCAGTGGCCGCAGCTGCAGCTCAAGGTGGCGGCGGCCGGAGCACTGCGCGGCCGGCGCCCGGCCTGGGGCGCCGCGCGGCACTGGCAGGGCGACTACTTGGCGGACAACTCGTACAATGATAGGGCCGGTGAGTTGGATCCGGTTCTGTTATAATTGTAAAAGAATTTTAAGGGCAAAATAAAACAACGCGTTCGGTTAAACGAAGATGAAGAAAGAGCAATTTTTTTTATTTCACAGAGTGAAAACTCACATAGGATACATTACAGATTATATAATATTATTCATCATTAGTTTTGTTTTGAGCAATTTCAATAGATTCAGATGTGAGAATGAGTAGATACTTCGAGAGTGTTATTAACGTTTATTTGAAGAGAATTTTTTTTCTTCAATAAAATCTAATGAAATGATTTAATATTGTGTGTTTAGTGTTATTCTGATAGTTTAATAATTCTATGTTATTGTGAATTGTAACTTATTATCATTTTACAATATATATGGAATCATCCAAAAACAAGAATATTGCCAAAAATATATAAACGTCTAACGACTTACTTTCGCTCGAAAAAATCAATATAACGTATTTTAAAATATCGCCATTCAAATAATAATAAATCAATTATGGTTTGGAACCCTTCGTGTGCGTGTCCGACTCACACTTAGCCGTTTTTTAGTTACTTATTACATTGTTGAGTTATTAATTTAATTATATGAATTTCTTTCCCAGCACAATACCAGTCGACAATGGCCAACCTGCACAGATCCCAGAACATGGGCAAAGCGCTGTTCTCGTGCAAAGTGCACAAATTCAACCGATACAACAAGCTCGCGGAGAGGTGTCTCCTCATCACTGAAAACGCCATATACAAGTTGGACGCGAGCTCCTTCAAACCCCTTAAGAAACCTACGCCTATTACTGAGGTTTGTTTTCTATATTGATATTATGATGAGGAAAGATTTGTTTGTTTGTTTGTACCGAATAAGCTCCGAAAGTACTTTACAGATTTAAATGAAATTTCGTAAGCAGATAGTTTGAGATCCTGGGATCTGGATCCCACACACATACGTACGCACGCAAGCATGCACATACACACACACATTGTAAGTAACACAAAATTGTAAGTAAGTCGAATCTGTATATTAAATAATTTTTGGAAAATCTTATTGAAATAAACATTATTATCGGTAGAGAGGCCGAATCTATAGTTTTTAGAATTTTCGTGTGTTTGTCTGTTTGTCGGTCTGTGATCACATTACGGAAAACCGCTGGACAGATTTTGATAAAATTTGGTATGATGATAGCTAGTTATCCGGGCCAACATTTAGGATATTTTTTACTGCGGGAAAATATCTCATCTTTGAGAAATCTATACTAAACGTCAACACGTAATTCTAATACGCCTAGTACACGCAAACTTTCAGTAATACAATAGTAATCTGATCACAGGCTGTATTAAGTATGAGATATCCATTGTAGGTGGGCGCGGTGCGCGTGATGAGCAGCGCGGCGCAGCTGGCGGTGATCAGCGTGCCGTCGGCGCGCAACGACCTGGTGCTGGGCGTGCAGCCGCCGCGCGGCGCCGAGCTGCTGGGCGAGCTGCTGGGCGTGCTCGCGCACCGCTACCACGTGTGAGCCACACCACGCGCACGACCACGAGTCGGACACTAAACCATACATTTTGCCCCAACTCTTAAATCGAATTCAGAACCTCTCAGTCTACAGCCGTATACTGACCGCTAAACTAAAGCATTTTATAGTTTATACTGGTATATCAGTAATAATTAATCGATACTGAACAAAACATTTTTATTTATTTAACTAAAACATTTTTAACAAGAGTTTTTTTTAAAAATTATATTGACGAGTATTTCATTAAACACGGGTCACATTATTTTAAGAAATACATATTAATATTTGAACTTCGAAGTATAATTTTCGCCTACAGTAAATGTCTATTATAGTGCATTATGGAGCAGTTGATAATATAGTATATTTTAATACTTAAGTTATTCATTTTTTTATCCTATCACAATTTACATATTAGATATAATCCATAATATTAATATAATAATGATGACATTCACAGATTAACCGGATCAGAGCTAACGGTGGAGGTGGAGAGCGGCGCGACCACGCGCTGCACGCTCGGGGGCAAGAGCCGCGCGCTGCAGCTGCCCGCGCCCGCCGCGCCCGCCGCGCCCGCGCTGCCCGCCTTCACGCACGCGCACAACGTCATCACCTACCACCCCGCGTCGGCGCGCGCGTAGCGACCACGCCCGGACACGCCCGGACACGCCCGAACATACCGATCGCGGACGACCGCGCCCAAATATTACTAACTAGTACCGATTATCCGACTATCATAGTTAAGCGACCATATCAGAGTATGGTCGACTTTTTCCGACTGATGTTAGTGTGACAACAGTACAAAAAATATAACTCCTCCTTTTTGAAGTCGGTTGAAAATTCATATAGGAGGCGATATCGCCTTTGATGGTGACGGAGATGCTGTCAAATGCAAGGGTTGTCAGAAAGTACTAACTTCCATGATGAACGATTTCGAAGTTAAACCGCAGTAATCCTATCTCGAAAGTTACAGTTTACAATCCTATAGACGTTTCCCGATTATTATATAAAAGTATATACTAACTGTTTAGTCCTGTATAGATAGATGGCCTCGTTAGACAGCTGTATCGATTATTGGACTATGGTATGTGTAACCATAGCAACCTTGTTTAAAAAGTGGACTTAATTTTTTTAATAATATCAATAATGGTATATGGTCTATATGAATGGAGTTGGAATAGCGAAAAATAGTTTAAACGATTGTTTATTTTAAATATAAAATATACTTTTCCAAATATTATTAAGTAATGGCAGTGGATTTCTATAATTCAAACGATTTTCTTTACTACAAATTAAGAGTATTTTATTTATGGAATGGATTTAATTATAACAAATGCGTGAATGTTGTTTGATTGTTTTAAAATTAATTCACTATAATGTGATAATAATAATTATACAGTATTAAGTTTTATGATAGTCTTGTTATTTATTCTATAAATGGAATTAATTATTTGACACCATTTTTTACTATATAAAAATGCCATGTCTTATTTTTTTTTAAATGCTATGTATCCAGCACAGGGGCGGACTGTGACTTTAAGGGGCCATGGGCTAGCACTTTTGGGGGCCTAAAAATGACAATTAGTTTAAATAATTAGAATTAAACTTATTATCATTTTGTCATACAAAAATCTGTAATGATAGATGGTAATAGACGAAATTAAGATAATGCTTTTGTTTGGTTCTTGTTAATTGATTTTAATGTTGTTAGGTCAAACTTTTATAATATATTTTTTTATTTTGGATAATTTTTATTTTTTAAATACACATTATTATTCATGTATTTCAACAGGGGGCCCGTTAAATCTTAGGGGGCCCAAAAATCCTACATATACAGATTCGCCCCTGATCCCGCAATAGTGATTTTGGATTGTTATTATATACATATAAAAATTTGCATATTTCATAATAAAATGTAGTTAAAATAAGTCTCCTTAAATTAGTCAATTATACATCTTTCTAATGCACTTCTTATTTACAATTTTTAAAGTAGTCGGTATCTTTGATATTTTTTTTTGGCTTTTTTAAAGTAACATGTATATTTAATACCGTTACAATTGACATTAAAAATCAATGATTGTGTATGAAAAACTCTTTTGATAAATTGGTCGTTTGGACAAACCAACACTGAGATGTAGAGTTGTAGATGAAAGTAAAGTATGTTAAAAACTTTTTTATCTTTGTTACACGACTTAACGGGAGGAGATTGTAAATATGGGCAGTATTTTTTTCTAATTCATTGTAATATTTACATTTATGAACTTATATCATCACGATGCTCTGTGTGAATTTAAATATTATTACATTGCGCGTATGAGAGTAAAATTTCAAGGTCGCGTCACGAGAGATCGTCACGAAAAACCGTCACGGTTGCCATAGTAACCGTTGGCTTTACGTTTCCATAGCAACCGTTGTTATTATCTGAAAAATGAAGTTTCACTTCTTACACGTTTTCATAGAAACTTGTTTTTTTTTTTCAAGTTATAAAATTATAATTAATGTACTTACGTAGTTAAAATAGACGTCCAAAATAATCGTTTTTGATAATAGATTTTACTATAAAATGTAAGAAGTTATTTGTTCCACTCTATCTTACATCACAATAATTAATAAATATATTTGTATTATAGTATTCTAAACATTTGTAAGGTTTTTCGCTGTTAGTTAAAGTTATTAATTATTTTTGTAAATATTTCTGTATGTTAAACGAAGTCTTTGTAGCCCTTTCGATGTTTTGTAAGGTTTTAAGCTGGATGGTGGCGGATACAGGTTCATTTCCGCCTTAAGTAATAATATCCTAGCTAACTTATTTCATTTAAATTTTGTTTGTCCGGGCCTAAAAAAAACATTTAATCGAGTATTTCTGCCTTTTTTATTTTATAATTAATTTAAAAGATAATAATTATGTTAATTAACTAAACTTTTAACTATATATCCAGATTATTTTATTTCCCTTTCGGCCAAAATGTCTTTACCACGGCATTTATTATATGAAATTAAGTTAAAACTAAGTGTTAATATTTTGTTAGTTGGTAATTATTTGAAATTGTAGTATATGAAAAATAATGTTTTTTTATACAAGCTTTTATTTAACTTGCAATGTTTGTATGTATGTTTGTTCGGGTCAAATCTTGCAATCGAATTTTAAAAGCACTTATCCTCAACCGATTGAGCTTAAATTTTGTATACTATCAACATGTAGGTAATGTAATAAATAATTGGGCTTGATTAAATTTAAAGTCAATTTTATAAATTAGCATTTAAATAAAAGCTTGTTTTTAAAAACGTTTTTTTTTCTACTATTATTTAATTTTATATAATTAATATCTTCTAGCCAATTTTCTAGAACTTTCTTTAATGGACTAAAATAGTTTATTAGATCTAGATTTTTAGAGTATAGTTAAACTAGACTGAGTCCAAGCTGGTAATTAAAATAAAATTTTACAATTTTTAATGAAATAGCACAGTTTTCATGTTTTTTCTTACGACTTAGCGTAGGTTATTTAATTTGTATATAGTTGTTATATAAATGAGTGATCGAAGATGTGCCTTTTGACGGTGCCATGAGATTTGTAATACACGCAATATTTACTTTTACAGCTGTTTTATTTATTACCTCATATCCGTATATCGGTTGTTGTTTATATAATATTATTTAGATATTAAAAGACCAGAATTTTGGGCTATTTTGTTTCGGTGAAGGAAAACATCGTGAGGAAACTTGCATGTCTGAGAAAACCTAGCAAATTGGCCAGCGTGGTGGATTATGGCTTGACCCTTCTTGTATTGAAAGGAGGCCCGGCCCGTGCCCAGCAGTGGGACGTTAACAAAAGGGGCTGAATAGAACTGATGATGATTGGTCGATTTCGACCACAGCGGCTATTAGGACTGGATAGTTTTTGCTCCAATGTTGTAAATGGTTGCTTTAACAACGTAGATCATATTTTATTAGTCTCATTGATATCCGTATATGGTGAGATGCAGAGTGAGTAAATAACTATTCATATATCCGAGATGTGAAAATTCTGGGTTCAAAAAGTATGCAGGTCAAGTTTAAAACTGTCTCAAGCACAGAAATTTTCATTTTACACAATATATTAATTGTTACTACTTACCGTTTTTTTTATTTTACGTTTCGTTTTACGATCAATTAGACCTTTGTATGAAAAATAAAAAAACGGAACATTTGATAATTTTTACTTCGTAATACATTCTGTGAACATTTCGACAGGCTCTTTAAAAGTATAACCGGTACACGTTAAGACTTAACGACAGATAGTGTTAGTTTAGTATCCGTTGAACTCGTTCTCTCTGTTTATTAGGTTTCAAAAATTTGCATTAGTAAATTATAGTGCCTTAATATAGTCGGGTACTCTCCGATTATATTAACTACTAGCATTGCCCGCGGCTCCGCCCGCGTTCAGATGACCAAAAACCAAATTCTTAGGTTTTACATATTAGTATACTCTTACAATGCAGTTTTTGTATTTTTTCTCAGAAATGAGATATTTTCCCGCGGGTAAAAGTATCCTATATGTTGACCCGGATAACCAGCTACCATCTTACCAAATTTCATCAAAGTCCCTCCTGTGGTTTTCTCGTGATGCGGTAACAGACAGACAGACAGACAGACAAAAATTCTAAAAACTATACATTCGGACTCTGTATCGATAATAAGGTCTATTTCAATTAGATTTTCCAAAAAATATTTAATGTACAGATTCGACTTAGTTACAATTTTATTAGGTATATGTATAGATGTGTAGGTATATACTAATATGAATAAAATTATATGTACTAAATTCTTCAAAACGTTCCAATTAAAGTAAAATGTCTTTACAAAATTATTGTACAGTATATATTTGAAAGCTTAAGAAATTCTAGAAAAGCATGAGGGAATGATGAATATGAACCTTATAATACACCTGTAGGGTTTAAATTTCTTCGCAGGATATTTTAAAGGGTTAGATTTTTCCTTAGAAAATATGTTTCACTGCACTGTATAATATGTGAAATCTGCAAAGGAATATAATGGGTTATGTATCTATAGAAGTTCTATGTATTTTTATTATGAAAAATATTTTTAACAATGTAAAACTGGTCAAGTGTGTTTGAGTCGCGAATTGAGGGTTCCGCTTTTGTACTAGGTATCTACTATATTTTTACACAAAAACAAAAAAGGCAGTAGTAATAAAATTCATCATACTAATACTTTCTTAGATTTACGCGAATATTTGAATTTTTTTTCAGATTATTTCGCGGAGTTGTCTCTCACGTGACCGTGTTTGCTGTAAAGCATTCGAAACGTTGAACAAAATCAAAATAAATCCACGAAACAATCCGAAAAGATAGCATTATTTAAAATGTTTATCAACATCTGATTAAAATTATCTATGTATACTAGCAGTACTCGCGGCTTCGCCCGCGTCCAAACTTCCGATCGCTAACAAAATTCCCAGGATCACCCGCTGGGCTAATCTGAAGATTACCTGAAAATTTCATCAAAATCACTCCAGCTGTTTTGGAGTCCACAGGAAACATACTGAAGTGTAAAATGTTTATACATTAAGTATAGTATAATATAGCATAATATAGTATAGCATTAGTATAGTGATAGTATAGCATTAAGTACTGTAAG